CGGCTCTGCCCTGGGTGTGCGGGAGCTCCTCCTGCCGCGGCTCTGCCGGGCTGCGGGAGCGCTGGCACCAAGGACAGGCAGCGGCTGCCGAGGGCTGCGCCGGTGCTTCCTTCCCTCCGCGGGTACCTGCGGGGGAGAAAGTTGGATGAAGCGGCAGGCGGGGGTGGGTGCTGGTAGGCAGGAGAGGGGAGGGGTGTGTATAGGGAAGCAGACGCGTGCACCCCCCCCCCCCCATTCCCCCCTTTCCCTATTCCCCCCTTTCCCTAAATACTTTCCTTTTATAAACGCGCTGATCCTTTTTCTTCTTCTTCTGCTTTTTCTTCTCCTCTGCATATAGGGAAAAGTTTGAAGACTCTTATGTCCAAAGGAATCTTACAGGTACATCCTCCAATCTGTGATTGCCCTGGGTGTCGAATTTCGTCTCCAGTGGTAAGATTATTGTTAAACTATGTGCTTTAGCTAAGACATCTTCCCTCTCCTCTGCCTCCTTCCCTTTAAAAAAAAAAAATCCCTTTGCTTCTGTGATCATGAAACCGTGATCTCTGAGGGTCATCGAGTCTGCCAGAGCCCTGCTTGCACTGTGAGGGTTCCTGCAGTCTAGGGAGAGGCGAGCAGGAGAGGAGTTTGGAAGCAGAGCAGATGGGAAGAGCAGGGTTTGACCTAAAGGAAGCAGCACACGGTGCGATTTTTTTTGGTTTTCAGGGGGAGCTGTCTGTGCGCAAAGGCAAATCGTTCAGGAGCCTCTTCCTTATTCCCACCCCTTCATTTTTGTGTATTGTGCAGAGGTGTAAAAATGGCTAAATAAAGCAAAAAGGAATTGTAATTGCACCCACGTGTCAGAGTCAGGACAGCCACAGTTTACAAACCATCAGTGAATTTGGTTAGATGAACTTAATGAGGAACAAGCTCATCTTAAATGCTTACAACTTGAACTATATTCATGTCACAGGTCACAGTTATGGCTTTTAGAGATCTTTTCTTCCCAACTTTTGAGTTCCTTGTGTATTCTGCTGTCTTGCCTTTATCCTCAGACTTTCAAAATCTTTCATCAACATTTTCATGGAAAAGATGTTGATGCTATAAATAAAAAGCTACTGAAATCATAGTAAAGTAAGGCTTTAAAACAGTTCATCATGTATGAAAATAACCATAAAGTACAATAACATGTAACCGGGAGGGCGAAGCTGTTGGTTTGGTGAACTAAAGCAGGTCTCAAGAACAACACTGTCAGTAGCACTGTGGAAACAGATACAGCTGGAAATTTTCATACTTTTACCCACTGAAATCAACCTTTTTTTAAAATTTTTTTATTGCTTCTTTGGCGTCAAGTCTCTGTCCACACGCAGTGTTTTTATGGTTTGGCACGACAGATAGAATTGTGAGTTTGTATCGTTCCTGGGTAATATCTCTGTGTATGCATGGTTATATCCACATTCCCATGGGAAGGGGCTCAGAACAATAATCAGAGCCACATAAATTAAATGTGAAGGTGTCTTGCCTGTGCGTTGTGCAGCAGCAGGTCTGTGCCACTGCCCATCGGGCTCACGGGGACTGGTTCTGCTGCACCATTGCCGTGGTGTTTTAAACCAAATGAACTGAAACCTGGCTCTTGCGAGTTCCTCTGGGTTGATGGGGCAAGGTGTGTGCTGTGGTGGGATCAGCCTCCTCCAGCTTGGAGCTTGGCATGTGCTTTGGTTCCCAATCGTGCGGATCAGAGCCAACAATCGGCGGACCAAAGGGATGTGCCACAGTTGTGGTGGTGTTGAGAAGTGTCTGGCCAGGTGACACTGTCTGCTGGTCACTTTTTGAGTACCAAGTTGCATTAGTTGGTAGCCCAAAGGCCATACTACGCTTTCCTAGAAGCAGCATTTTTAATAGTTGTGCAGGGATCCGTGCATTTCCCGATGGGAAGGCAGCTCTGCATGGAAGAAGTGTCTGGTAGACTTTTAGAACTGAATTTGAGAAGTTCAGATAGAGGAAAAAAGAGGTTGGTGTAGTTTTGGGAAAGGAGAAATAAATCTTAATGGACTTGCCTCCCACTGCTTCCCCAGCTGGAAGGGGGTTTTGATGTCAGAATTTGCACAGCAAGGCCAAACCCCAGTGAGGACTTTCATCAGAACTCTTTTTTGTCAGTGCTCGCTGCCCTTTCTGTGCTGTAATTAGAACACGTTATCTGACCAAAGGACAGTTCCACATATTGAACCTGAAATCTTTTGCTAATGCCTTGTTGTAGCTACGTGCACTACACATTCCAGTCACACAAGGAGGAGGATTAAAAATCGGGCACAGTTTCCCTTTCCCCATTTAGTGATCACCCAGTCAAGCACCGCTGAGATCAAAGGGCTGATTCTCCTCCAGTGCAGAAATCCTTTATATTTTATAGGGTCGGTCAGTTGAGATTTGCAATGCCTGGTCCTTGTGCTGCTGTGTTATCCCATGGGAGTGTGGAGCTGGGGAGCTGATCCTGCCTGCAGCCGGTTCCACTGATCAGTCCCTGGACAGCGGGAATAGGCCAGGAAAACTCGAGCCCTGCCTTTGGAAAAGGGGCAAGCCCGGCTGCTTGCAGGCATCTGCCCCTCTCCCCGTCTGCTCACCGCAGGCAGCAAAGGGAGCGCTCCAAGGGCTGAGCCCGGCTCTTCCTTTGGGAAAGGTGACATCCAGTGTGTCCCAGCCAGGCGGGAATAGCAGGGGCTCTTAATCACCGCATCGATGGCTCAAGCCTGGCTCTCTGTCTAAGGCTGAGAGGAGAGAGGAGCTGTCTGTCCGTAAAGGGAAACCGCGTCGTGCCCCAACCCCGCACTGGCAGGAGCCGAGCCGGGCACGGCTCCCCCCGAGGGCTGAGCTGCTCCCCCCGAGGGCTGAGCTCCTCCCCCGCTGCGCGGGGTCCCCGCAGGGCAGCCGAGCGCGGTACCCCCCCCATCCCTCCCCGGGGCTGGCGCCGCGTCCCCCCCGCCCGTGCCCGCGCCCCGGCCGCGGTGCCGGCGGTGCCGGGGGAGCGGCGCCCGCCCCCCGCCGCCCCGTCGCAGCTCGTTTGCTGCCGCAGCTGCAGACAGGGGCCGGCGCCGGGCCCCGCTCCGCCACCGACCGCCGGTTTCCTGCGAGGCTCAGGGGAGAGAGGAGGGGGGGGGGAGAGAGAGCGGCCGCGTCGCGCCGGCCGCCCTGGCGCCTCCTCCCCCCGGGCCGCGGCCGCCCCCGCGCCGGCATCCATCAATCAGCGGGGGGAAGGCGAGGGGGAGGAGGGGAGGGATGCAGGAGGGCCCCGCAGGGTCGCGCCGAGCCGTGGGGGATGCGGGGAGAGCACCCGCGGGAGTGCGGGAGGATGGGGAGGGCATCCCCTGCGCGCTGGGAGGATGGAAGGGCAGAGGCGTCCTTGCGGTCACACGGCGATGGGGGAAGCAGTGTCTGCCCCTGGGGCTTTGTG